GTTCCTTAGCAGCAACCCAGGAAAAAGTTTCAGGCGGCCTACCACACCTTCCACGAAATGGAGGAGAATGAGGATACCCAGGATCGTTTGGCGAAGTTGAAGCTGAAAAAACCCAACATGCTGGCACAGGATGGGATGCACGACAGAACAGAGATCACAAAGGAAATGTTCCTCTTGATTATTCAAGACAGAGGTGTGCAAAAGTTGATGAATGAGCTGGATTTGCCCCCGGATCGTGCTAACATGTTCGAGATCATAGATGCTGACGGTAGCGGCACGCTACAATTGCCAGAGCTGCTGCATGGTTTGCTGAAAATGCGCGGAGACATCAGCAAGTCGGACGCGGTGGCGGCCGCTTGTCTGTGAATAGAAGTTTTTGTTTTTTTTAGAATCTAGATCACCGATCAGGAAAGGGCTGCGTTCAATCACCTTTGGATTACTAAGGCATATTTGGCTACCAAAGCGGTACAGAACATGCTAACAGAGCTGAAGGCGGAGTGTGCTGAATGCTTGCGTACTGTTAAGTCCCAAGCCGGATATCGCAGAACCCACCTAGAGTCGACTTCTTGCAGCGTGGCCTCAGAGGCCTTCTATCCGCTAGCGCCACCTTCGCCCACGGAGATCCGAAATGACTCCCCATCAGAGGATCCATCAGCGGCAAATAACTTAGTTGCCCAAGACATGCAGCAGCAAGAGTTGGCATTTACAACGCCAGACTTGTCTGGTGTTCGCGCATCTTGCAAGCCTGCTTCGCCGGGTGGCGATGACCAGTCTGAGCCGCCATCCCCTTAACATGATGTTCAAAGATAAATGGTTTCACAAAAAAAATAAACAGTTTTCCTGCGCAGAACCACCATCACCGGTGAACTGTTTGGCCAGTTGGCTCCTGCTGGCGAGATTGCTGCTCCGGCCTTTTATTTGCGTGGCAGCTTGCTCAAAACTGTCCAGACAAATCTGCAGATAGGACCCTCATTAAACTTGTAATGCTTAGATCCCCACGGCACCCAGCTTGAGAAACTCTCATGTGGCAGCTTGCTGCAGCCTGCAGCCCGGAGCAGGATTGTCGTCATCAGGTGAACCCAGGGTTGCCAGAGGTGACAGCTTTGCTGGAGAAGGGACTTGTATAGGATGTTCTTGGTTTTCCAGATCTGCCTCAGCTGCTTGGCAAGGCACCCAGGTTCTATCCCGCAGGGGGGATAGCGAGGAACTAGCTGCGTTTTCAAATCAAGCGTGAAAAGGCATCGCTCTAGTGACTCTAGTGAGAGATCCTGCAGAGTGCCATTGGGCTTTGATAAGAGGGGCTTGAGTGGGTATGGCAGTTGCACTACCTCATGGAACTCATCTGCTTCGTCTGAATATTATGACCATACTTTCTGTACTGCTTATGGAATGTAACAATGTCAGCGCATCTAGGCCAGTAGTATTGCTGATGTGAATTCTTGACATGGTTTATGCACAAGTTAGGGTCCCATTTTGGCATGCCCAGAAATATTAGGTGCCGTAATAGTATCTTTTACCAAAAGGGAGCCATAATTTTCAGAACAACCCACATGCTAAGGTTTGGAAGACAGGCCGCGGCAAGAAGGACTCGAGACTGGTGCTTGCTATATATAGAGCGTGAGGGTTTAGGCTTTAGGAGTATTATCCCCGTATAATATAATGGAGAATCAAATGGAAATCAAATAGAAACTGGGGTAATATTCATGTCGCCTCGCGAAGTTATGCCCGCCTTTCCACACACCCACATAGGTACACATTATGAACAAAGCAGAACACAAAAAATAACTCAAGTGGTCCGTGCCGTGAGGGCCATCAACTGCGATACTAGTTTCTCGTTGACGTTGGGCAGGTCACACATCAACACGAATACTGAGCAAAAGCTGTGTCGCAGCAAAGCTCGGCAAAGCTCAGTTGCTGCATGACATCCAGGGTTTAGGGTGCAAGTTCTTTCGAAAATTGCGGGCCGCAACTCCCAATTCGGGGAAATCCCCATGTAGAGGTTAACTTGAACTGGGACTGGACTGTTTGCTATACTCTTCACCTGTCCTATCCTGTCCTTTGACAAGGAGCCAAGCGCTTCCACGCGGCCGAGACTCAGCCAGTGTGTTAGACTTCTGCCATGCAGGGGCATTGTGGAATATCCCGAGCTAGTATATGTATGATACAAGGCCCTATATGATTGTGTGTGAGTCACGATCTACAGTGTCAGCGCCGTTTCTGTAGTCTCCTTCGGAATTACTTTTCAATGCGAATTCTAGTATAACCCTGAGGAACTGTTTAAAAGTAATATCTTGATTATAGGACTGAGGAGACTACAGGTTTCAGGGGTTAGTTTACGCAGCCTGGAACCGTGACTTCCAACTGTCGTATTGATACCTGGCGGCAAAAGAAGAGCTTTGAGACGCAGCCGAAGCTGCAGACTAGTACTGGCAGTCATAATCGTAATAGTTTCAACTAGGAATAGTAATGGTAGTAATAGCAGTAATATTGTTTCAATCGTAATTGTAGTAATAGCAGTATTGATATGATAGTAAGAGCAGCATGATATAATAGTAAGAGCAGCAATAGCAGTAATATTGAAATGTAATCGTAATAGCAGCAATAGCAGCAATACTGATATAATAGTAATTTAGCAGAAATATTGTTTCAATCGTAATAGTAGCAATAGCAGAAATAGTGATATAATAGTAATAATCAGAATCAGTGCCTGGCCGAGGAGCGCCATTGCTGCAAGGGTGGTGATGGAACCTGCTTCAGAGACGTCGGTCGAGATGCCAGAGGTTGACATTTTTGCGGGCGAGGCCTGCTAAAGCGCTATCAGATGGTCCCGTTGGGTTTAGGGTTTGGGGTTGTCCCAAGCACTAAGATCTGGATCCTAGGTGGCCTCCTTCACTTGGAAGTTGTGCAGACTGGGAGCAGCAAGAGGCATAGCTGACAGAAGTAGCTAGGAGCTGATCAGACTGCCTCCCGTATGTTCCTGGATCGAGGCCTCTACAAAATCCTGTCTGATCGCTATTTTCCACTCTTCCTCTTAATGCTTGTGGGTAGTACTTCTCCAGGCCGGGGAAGATGCTGAGGATCTCCTGTATGCGGCACAGGCTGGGTGTTAGGGAGTCGCCTTTGAGGAGGAAGTGCCGGGGAATACGAGGTACCTTCCTTTCCCATACAGAAGCAAACCTCAACAGCATGTCCACACGCTTCTACCTAATGTAGACCCTTGATTAATAAACCCCTTCCCCTTGGAAGGAGGAGGCTAATTAGTAAGGGATCTACATTACTTACGAGCAAGCTACCGGGTATGTTTGGAAGCCTCATTCCGGTTTGAAGCGCATGTGCGCTTTCGCGGAGCCGCTTTGTCCATATTTTCCAGAGCCTCATGATGTGTGTGCTGTCTTGGGGTTGCAGCGCAATCCTGGTGTTAAGGAAGCATTTTGAACCTGATGTTAAGGAAGCAGTCTAAAAAAGCGTGGAGACTCAAGACGGTAAAGGCTTCTTGCCAAGCGTTCCTGCTCATATGCAGCGGCAGCATGCCATAGCTCAAACCCACATCCAAGCTCTGTTCTAATCTTTTCAATACTGGGGAGTTGTAGATATGATGTTTTGAGGCAGCAGTCTGCCCTCTACGCTTAACCCTGCAGTGCCGGAGTGGGTTAGGTGGGGAGATCTAGCACCCCATACGGTTGTTTCGCAGGAGGACTTCATGAGCGCGTGGAAGACGGATGCTGAGGACTCCTTGTTGCTTTCCGAACATTTGGCGTGCTTGTTAAGAAATGAGGGATGTACTTGAGCCACAAAGCACCCTCTCGAGGTTTAAGGAGAGATTTGTTTGAGGTAGTCTCGCATCCAGTCCTCTGCAGAAGGCATTTTCTCGTGTGCAGGGAGCAGATCATTTTCGGAAGTTCTACAAGGGCATTCCAATCTTCAATTTCTTTTTTCCTGCGTAGGAGGCGGAGGAAGACGAGGCACCAAGCACTCGCAAACCTGCTCGGGAGGCCCCGGGTAGCTGCACAAGGTTTAGGGTTTAGGGTTTTCTATTGGCTGGATGTGTGCGCCACGGGAGGTTTGCTGAAATTACTGGGCTGTTTGCGCAGCACACGAAAAAGCCACGCGCGTATGTGACTTGATCGCTGAAAAGTCAATGCACGTGTGGACTTATTTTGGGAAACCCTTAAACCTATATGTCCCTGTGTACCCCAATATAACAACCTGGAATCCCTTTCAAGGTACCCCTAATTTGGGGATTTTGCTATGACAGGAAACTTTCTGCCTTGGATAAATGCCCAGATTGTATTACTATAGCCTCAACATGATATACCCTATTATACTGAAGTAGCTTCCATTTTCTTCTCCAGTATTCCCTCATATTCCCTATAAAGCCCTATATATGTCCTTATTATTTTTCTGTACTATAACCGAAATAGCATTCAGTAGTTTCCATGTTCTTTTCCACTATTCCCTATATAAGCTCAATATGCTGTGATCTGTAGGCCTCCAAGCGACGTCGGCGCAGTTCCGCCCGAAAAGAAGCTGATGCCAAGGATGCCGCATGACTTGCTGTGCAAGGTTGCTAGACAATGGCTAAGCTGAGATGGCCTTCACTCAGGTTGAAATGAACTATAGTCTAAACCCCTAGTATCCCCCTCAAGAACCCCTACAATACCCTATATCGTCCCCTTTTTAATCCCCCTTTAACGAACTTAGATTATGGCTCAACTGATGCATTGACTTGCGGGCCTTGGCCAGGACGCAGGAGGCAGGTCATCATCGAAGTCCACCGCGAAGGCGCCGCATTTGAGATGGAAAGGAGGGCTTACCATTTGAGCCATAATCTTAACTCCTTAAAGGGGGATTCTGTAGAGGATTACATAGGGGACTACTGTACCATAGGGGCCATTAAGGGGTGATACTAGGAGTTTGGACCATAGCTCACTTGTATGAGTATATGACTCTTGCACCTTGCAGATAAAAGTGCAGCCTGCAGGGAGACGATCAGACCGGAAAGGTGCAGCAAACGGCCAAAAGGAGCTCGAGCAAACAGCCAGCGTCAGAGCGCACAAACGTGGCTGCCGCTTGCCCACATGAACTGTAGTTTAAACCCCCTACAGGGGTTATACGGGGGAGTACTATAGGGGTAGCTAAGGGGAATACTAGGAGATTAGACTATAGCTCATATGAAGCCACCTCGTACTCAGAATCCTAGTCCCTACGTACAGGGGGAATACTCAAGCGGATACTGGGAGTTTATAATCCACCTGAAGTAGATAGAACATGGGGTGGTTAGGGTTTAGTAGGGTTTAGGGCTCAGGATTTGGTAGGGTTTAGGTCTTAGGGTTTGGTAGGGTTTAGGGGTTTAGGGTTTCCTGCAGTTCTTGCGTATGCGCTTTCAGGGTCGGCGGGCCTCTGCCCCAGCGCCATCGCACAGAGAGACGGCTGTGAAGGAGCGCTTGCAGAACCAGGCTTTGAAAAAATGCAAGTGGGGGTTTCCCAAAATTACGGGTACCCTTTTGGGGGTCCCAATAGTAAGGATTCTAATATATCAGGGTCTATATCGGTGGTCCCCTACTTTGGGGAACTACCAAGTGTGCACCAGATACAAAGAGCCACTGGAAAACAGATATCATTCTCCAACATGGTATTAGTATTCTTACGCTGATTATTGCTTTTATTTTCTATCATTTTCACTATTATTACTATGAATTCTTGTTCAATTAAATTGAGGACTCGCGAGCCCGATCGGGATCGGCCAGGACGGTGTTCATGACATCCTTTGGTTAGCAGGATCCCGATGGTAA